GTGGTTTCTGCTCTCTCAAAGCTACAGACTAATTCAGGAGTAACACGGAGTAACAGCTGAATAACCATAGCCAGGAGTAAGCATATGATGGGTGGATACAAAATTATAGACAGCAAGCAATATTAGCTTTTCTACATTGGGGTGACACTTTGACTCTGGTGCCAACTCCCTCTAAGTAGTGAAGCAAGTAAAACAGCCCCATAAATATTTTCTCCCCTACACAGAACTCCTTAATGGTATGCCAGAGGTTACAATGGAAATGCTAAGGAAAGGAACAGCTGGCATCTCTCCTTGAAACTCTATAAGCAGAACAAACTCAGAGCTTCAAAACAGCAAAATATGTTTCACTGGGAGAATATGATCCTCTCTGGAATCCTACCAGGAACCATAAAGTTACCCCTGATAAACATGTTGAAAGAAAGTGAACAATGTGAGGGGAGTTTATCTTAAGGGAAAGATCAAATACTTCCTGAGAGCACTTTGTTTTCCTTGAGAAATGTCAAGGAGTACGTGTCTACACGGACTTCACTAAGAGTAGGATATTAGCCCCAAAAACGAAATAGGGGAAATGAACATGATAACATCTGGGTGGGGAATGTGTGTGTGAGGGGGAGAGAGAGAGAGAGAGAGAGAGAGAGAGAGAGTGTGTGTGTGTGTGTGTGTGTGTGTGTGTGTACTGGGGGGATGGTGGTTAGGGGTGGTTATAAGAGGATAATGTAAAAATTAGGAAAAGAGAGCTCACAGCTTAATATTGACCATGAGATCAGTTACCAAAGGCCATTCCTCCATAGGCAATGATAAGGCCATGTTCATTGCAACTATATTACAATTCATTTTGATTTTGTAGATGAGAGAATGTCAGAAACAAACAGGAAAATCAAACACCAGATTGAAGGAAAATGAAAATACAGCATCCGGCTTCCCCTAGACATTGGCTGCTGGTGTCAGTCTGGCAAAAACAGCTCTCAGTTTGTGTTGAGATAAAAGCAATAGGTCCCTCAAAATAGCAACTTGGGAGAAGACTGCTCTGCTATCACATACGAAAGGCAATAGCAGAGAAGAAATGGAACATGTATTACTCATCCTCTTTTCTCCCAGGAAGGAAGGTTTAGGCAGGAGAGAGGACAAGGAATCCCAAAGCCATTTGACCGAAAAAAGATTGCTCAAGAAAGAGCTTTTAAATGAAGATCATGGTTTTCAACTATAAAGCTGTAAGTCATCTAATGATTTTCTAAGGATGGAATTAAGGGGAAACCTGAGGATGAATTATACATTAGTATATTTTGTAAAATAAATTTGTAACACAATTGGTCCCAAAGAGGCACTCATAGAGTTATTACAGTTTGAGTATCCCTTATGTAATACAAAATGCTTGGGACCAGAAGTGTTTTAGCTTTTGGATTTTAGAATATTTGCATATGCAGAATGGCCATTTCTTCGGGGTGACACCCAAGTCTAAACACAAAATTCATTTATGTTTCATGATACTTACATACATAGACTGAAAGTAATTTTATACCGCATTTTTAATAATTTTGTGCATGAAACGAAGTTTGTGTACATTGAACTATCAGAAGGAAAAGGTGTTAGTATCTCAGCCACCCATGTAGACAATCTGTGATTGTGTAACCTCACCATCATTCCTGACTCTAAATTTATATGTTTTTGATAAGCAATCATGTTCATATACTTATTCACACTTAAGTACTTAACAGTAAAAAAAGTGTTCAGGTTAGCCAGGCAGCACAACAGCACTAGGTACCTGTGACAGCTGTTAACAGCAATAAGTAGGAGCAGACTTTCAGTCTCACCTGCAATGCTATGTTTTGATTAAAAGGCTACTGTACACTGTATTTTATTTTTTAAGGCGAGAAGAAAAATCAGAAGCAGTTGAGGGACCAGGAAGAGGGGCCTCCAGGGATGCCAAGACATTCTGCTAGAAAGCTTTTACTATTACTGTTTTTTTTGTTTTGTTTGAGATGGAGTCTTGCTCTGTTGCCCAGGCTGCAGTGCAGTGGCACCATTTTGGTTCACTGCTACCTCCATCTCCTGGGTTTAAGCGATTCTCCTGCCTCATCCTCCCAGGTAGCTGGGATTACAGGCACCCGCCAGGATGCCCAGCTAATTTCTATATTTTTAGAAGAGATGGGGTTTCACTGTGTTGGCCAGGCTGGTCTTGAACTCCTGACCTCAGGTGATCCACCCTCCTCAGCTTCCCAAAGTGCTGGGATTACAAGCGTGAGCCACCACACCCAGCCTGCAAGATGGTTTTTAAAAAATGTTTCCTCCAGAATCACCTGGCTCATTAAGATCTTTTATTTATTTATTTATTTTTCCTTAGAAGTCTCTCTTTGATTCTATAAACCGGCATGATTTCTTGTGTTATGGCTGCTCACTGCTCTAGTCCCTCAATAAGCCATCGCACCTTTTCACCATGCCATTGATAGGCACTTTTTCTGCAGTGTTGACAATGTCACCTTCACTGTCACTACTACACAAACACTTCCTTCTTCTCATCACTGCTACTCATAGGTCTTTTTGATGTTTTCAACAATATCTCATCTGCATCTTTGCTCATGACGTCCCGCCCCCAATTCACGACCTACGCTCTGCCACTGCCACTTGAAGTAGCCAGCCAGTGACCTCTCTGTTACAGAGAGGACTTTGCACCAGAATGTAAACCAATGTGTTGCTTCTATCACGGAAAAGCTCTTACAGTGATCAAAGAAATCAAAGAAAAAGGAATCTGCATAGGGAATTCATGGATTTACATTCCAGCACAAGCGCCTTATCTAGTGCCACTGCTCTCTCTGGACTTGCAATTCCTGGAATGCTTTGGACATTTGATACCTTCATGCTTTTTGCTCATATATTCTCTCTGTACCTGGAACTTCCTTTCTCCTCTACACCACCTAACAGACAGAACTATCATTGAAGGTTCAGCTTGTGTCACGAAGCCTTTCTTGTCCCTCACGTAGGATTCGTCTCCCGTGCTCTCTTGTGTCTCCTCTGTATTATATGATAGGCTTTGGCACTAGTGCCGTGGTGGCAATCGTTTGGTTTATTTCGACTTTAACATTTCAGGGCATTTTATACTCAACTACGTAGTCTGTAGTGCTGGTGGGATGTGGAGCCTTGCTTCTCACCATAGACACCGAAGCAGGGAGCTAATCCCACTCCCTGTCCCCTGGTGAGATGGTGTAGTCCCACCATGATATGCCTACATCCTAACCTCTGGGACCTGGGAATGTGACCTTATTTGGAAAAAAAAGGTTTATAGATGTAATTAAGGATCTCAAGGTGAGATCATCTTGGATTATCTGGGTGGGCCCTACATGCCAATGACAAGTCTCCTTATAATAGACAGAAGACAGAGGGCAGAGATTGGAGTTTCACGGGCACAAGCCAAAGAGTGCCTGGGCCCACTGAGAGCTGAAGGAGGCAAGGAAGAATTTTCCTGTGGAGCTTTTGAAGGGAGCAGAGCCCTGCTGACAACTTGATTTAGGACATCTGGCTTCCAGGGCTGCGAGAAAATACATTTCTGTTGTTTTCAGCCAACCAGTTTGTGGTCATTTATTACAGCAGCCCCAGGAAACAAATATAGATGCCTGGCCATATGACCTAGATTCAGTCAAATATGAACTCTGATCCTGGACTCTGAATGCAAAGCGAGTCATTCAAAGGCACAGACATGGTGACAGTGTCTGGCCACATCACTCCCACTAAAAGGAGCCCTTGTCCTTCTCAGATGATCAGGTTTCAAACCCATTTTCTGGCCCAGGTTCTCCTGATTCTGTACAGTTCCTACAGTTTTCCAGGAAATGTTCTTCTCTGCTAAACATATCCAGAATTCATTCGTGTTGCTTGCAATTCACAATTTTAACTAAATTTTAAAAAATGTTTCAGTCAGTGTTCCAGCCATTCCAAGAGAAATACAAAGATTCTGAAAAACATCATTAAGTCTAGAATGGAACTCTGGCAACCACTGGCATACAGTAGCAGAAAGCTAATTTAACTAGTCACCTGCAGTTGCAGGAATTAGGTATCCAAATAGGGCAAGGCTACAGGGGCGAACACCGTTCTCGCTGGAGAATGCTACCAAGGGCATGAGGAATTCAAGAAGGCAGGAAGGCATTTGAATGAGCTTAAAAAACAAAAAAACAAAGGCCGGGCGCGGTGGCTCACACCTGTAATCCCAGCACTTTGGGAGGCCGAGGCGGGTGGATCACAAGGTCAGAAGTTTAAGACCAGCCTAGCCAAAATGGTGAAACCCTGTCTCTACTAAAAACAGAAAAATTAGTGGGGCACAGTGGCAGGTGCCTATAATCCCAGCTACTCAGGAGGCTGAGGCAGGAGAATTGCTTGAACCCAGGTGGCAGAGGTTGCAGTGAGCCAAGATCACACCACTGCACTCTAGCCTGGGTGACAGAGTGAGACTTGTCTACTTCGTCTAAAAAAAAAACCTCAATTTTTTTTTTTTTTTTTTTTTTAGATGGAGTCTCACTCTGTCACCCAGGCCAGAGTGCAGTGGTGCTACCTTGGCTCACTGCGACCTCCGAATTAATTCTTAACTCGGACACAGGCTTGTGTCTGTAGTGCTGTACTCTTGAAGCTGTAGTGCTAAGGCAGCTGAAATATAAACTCTAGGTAAGTGATAATCTATAGGCTGCCAAATTACTTAAATTCACAGTCCCCCCTCCCATGTATTTTATGTGAAAGTCAGAACATTGCCTGCAGGAGGCAAAACTGGGCCCTGAGAATAGGAATGAGAATTTTGGATGCAGCACTCCCTCACTCTCCTGAAAAGGACAACCCTTACTTCCTCATAGGCTCACCATTCCCCCATCAGAGCGAGTTTGCTGTAAGAGGGAGAGAGCTCAGCCCATTCCACATCACCACATTCCCTCCCCCTTTCACTGTCCCCAGTTCTGTAACTCGCCACTTTTCTGCACGTTCCAGAGAAAAAATATTACAAAGTCAAACCCAGAAGGCTTACATACCAGAAGATTTATAGACTGTTGAATTTAGAAGGCAAAGATCTGGGATAAGTCTCCACACATGTGGATTCCGAAGGTGACTGCCAAAGACAGAAAAATATAATTATAGACTCTACTGAGTTGATCAACGTGGGTGAGCTTACCAGAGATTCTGGAGTTCATGTGCCAACCTGGCCAACTGAATGTGGTTCTAGGAGCTTGCTCATCTGTTAAATCAAAACCTGGCCTAACCAGAGTTGAGATGCTGTATATATCTTGGTCAAAGATCAACTAAGGTGTGGCGAGTGGGACTGTTTCCTGCCCTGCAGTGGCTACTGTATTGGCTGGTTAGTGACGCAGAAACAGTTTGAGGAAGACTCATATAAATGAACTCAGAAATGCTCACAGTACAAGAATCCATCTATCTATCTATCTATCTATCTATCTATCTATCATTTATCTCACAGTACAAGAATCTATCAATCCATCAGTCCGTCTGTCTGTCTCTCTGCTGCAGGCGAGTGGCAACTATCTGGGCCAGTGGTGCAGGGGTAAAAGAATTTACCAGGACAGTTGTAGGTAAAGAAGGGCAGATTTATTAGAGAAAATAGGAAAATAGGTTGCATGGTTACAACAGGCAGAATCAGCAGAAGAGTTGCTGACTGCCAGGAAACAAAGGCTTGCTGGAGATTTTCTAGGCTAGTTCTTGGGCTGATTGATAATGCCAAGGTAGCAGGGAGCTCACCTGCCTGCATTCTTCTGTCAGCCGAGGAGCTTGATGATAAATAGAAGTGTTTGATGATAAGCAGGAAGTTTGTGAGTTATGCATGTTATTTGCTCAGGAGGGCTATATGTCCTGGGACATGAAGAAAAGCAGACCTATACTTATTTGCTTTATCTCTTTGCTTTCCCCTGGTCCTGCCAGGCTGACTCCCTTTCCCTAATTAAGACTCCACACTATCTATTTTTTTTTTTTTTTTTGGAGACAGGGTCTCACTTTGTTGTCCAGGTTAGAGTGCAGTGGTGCAATCACAGCTCACTGCAGCCTTGACCTCCTCAAGCAGTCCTCCCACCTCAGCCTCCACAGTAGCTGGGACTACAGGTACATGCCATGGCACCTGGCTAATGTTTTTGTATTTTTTTTTTTTTTTAATAGACAGGGTCTTGCTATAGTGCCCAGACTGGTCTTGAACTCCTGGCCTCAAGCCATCCTCCTGCCCTGGCCTCCCAAAGTGCTGAGATTACAGGTATGAGCCACTGTGCCCAGCTGCAAGAATATATATATATTGAGACGGAGCCTCACTCTGTCACCAGGTTGGAGTACAGTTGCACAATCTTGGCTCACTGCAGCTTCTGCCTCCGGGGTTCAAGTGATTCTCCTGCCTCAGCCTCCCAAGTAGCTGGGACTACAGGTATGTGCCATCATGTCCAGCTAATTTTTGTATTTTTGGTAGAGGCAGGTTTTCACCATGTTGGCCAGGATGGTCTTGATCTCTTGAGCTCGTGATCTGCCCACCTCAGCCTCCCAAAGTGCTGGAATTACAGGCGTGAGCCACCACGCCCAGACAAGAAAATTTTTAACTCAAGAAATTAAGATGGTCATGGTGACCTCCATGCTTGACACTCTTGTGCTTGGTCCTTTGGGGTCATGAGCAAGGTGACCATATTGGCAACGTTGACAGCTATCTATGTGTGCAGTAACACATTCCTCTCCTCTCCAGGCTGATCTTGTGATTGGCACTGCTGAGTGCTCCATTGGTCAGCAGAAGTAATAAACCCTGAGCCCATGGTATTATACGAAGCTTCAAGGGAATCAGCCCTACCTCATGTCCCTTTTCATGCAAGAGAAGTGAAATGCTTTTATTTTACACATAATGCAGTGGTTTACTTTTCATCAACCCCACAACATTACATTTACTGCAGTGCAGATAGCACCCCAGACTGCCTCATTTTACTCCCAGCTTTCATCGCCACTTGAAACATCTATTGGCCAACCTGTTGTCTGGAACAAGCAGGACTTGTAGTGACTCATATCCCTGGAAACCTATTCTGCTGGGGCTCACTCTTCTATTGCCTTTGAATGAAACTCAGGCAGGGCCACAGATGTCTTCATGAACTTTCAATAATAAATAAATGCTCTCCAAATCACAAAACGTTCTCACTTCTGAAATTAAGATTCCCCATCCAGTGTAAAATCAAGACTTCAAGTTTCATCACCATTTGAAACTTCTCATCTCCAGCTTGGACCTGCTGCTGTCAGGAACTTTGCAGAGGGAAAGGTGGTTTTCCTCTCTTGGTGTACCCTTCACTCTTAGCTCAGTTAGTTAATGGGGCAGGGCCGCGAGGGTAGTGAAGGGAGCTGGCAAGGAGAAGTCAGGGAGCCAGAAAAGTCCTTTCCTTTCTTTTCCTTTCCTTCCCTTCTCCATTCTGTTCTCTTCTTTCTTTTCTTTTTTTAAGAGACAGGGTCTTGCTCTGTCACCCAGGCTGGAGTGTAGTGGTGCGAACATGGCTCACTGCAACCTTGAATTCCTGGGCTCAAGCAACCCTCCTGCCTCAGCCTTCCAAGTAGCTGGGACTACAAGCTCTTGCCATTATGCCTATTTTTTTTTATTTTTACATATTTTTAGAGACAACGTCTGACTATAATGCACAGGCTGGTCTCAAACTCCTGGCCCCAAGTGATCCTCCCATCTCAGCCTCCCAAAGTACTAGGATTACAGGTATGAACCACTGCATCTGGCCAAAAAGTTCTTTTTGACTGGTACTGGTGTGAACTGAGTTCAGTGATCTCTGGGCATGGTGGGCACTAAAGGCTGTTCTCTTTCATGAAGTATTTTTGTGGACCTCATGAAATTTTTTGTTGGCTTGGTGCTGATGCTCATGGCTGAAGTCCTTCTACCAGCAGTTTTCTGAAATGAATAATCTACTGTCCTTCTGGCTGCCTATGACAGTTCCATGTCTTCCACCCCTACACCTCCAGCATGTTTCACCTGCAATCTCTTCACCCCTCCAGATGAGATCCTAGCCAATGCCACCTGTCTTTCGAGCCTGCATCTATTCCAAGGAAAACACACGCCTCTGTTCTCTTCGGTAAGAGTAGTGGTTACTTCCCAAGCAATACCCACTCTCTGCTGCCATAGGTTGCTTCTACCAGTCTTTAGATTTTTCGGGCATAGTTTGGCCCAGATCACTGTGTCTGAGATCTCATCTGCAATGGCACATATCCAGCTTTCTATGTGGTCCTCCTGAAGCCCCTGTCCCTTGACTTGAAGATGGGGAGAAATCCCTGCTTCTCTCCTCCCGTGATGCTGTGTATGTGTTGACAAGGGAAGGGGCACCCAAAGCATGCTAAAAAAAATCTTCCTAAATACATCTTCTCCCTAGTGTCCAACTGGGTGTTGGACTAAGGGTCATAAAGCTAGATTTCATATTATTCAGCCTTAAAAAGCAATGCAATTCTGACATGCCACAAACACGGATAAACCTGGAAGATGTTACGCTCAGTGAAGTAAGCCAGACAAGAAAGGACAAATACTGCATGATTCCATTCACGTGAAGTTCCCAGAACAGTCAGATTCATAGAGGCAGAAGGCAGAATGATGGTTGCCAGGGCCTTACGGGTCAGGGTAAAAGGGGTTAAGTGTTTAATTGGCCTGGAGGTTCACTTTGGGAAGATGAAAAAGTTCTGGTGATGGATAATAGTGATGATTGCACAACACTGTTAATGTATTTTACACCCCTGAGTTGTACAATTAAAAATGGTTAAATGGGCCGGCACGGTGACTCACACTTGTAATCCCAGCACTTTGGGAAGCCAAGGTGGGTGGATCATGTGGTCAGGAGATCGAGGCTATCCTGGCCAACACAGTGAAGCGCTGTTTCTACTAAAATACGAAAAATTAGCCATGGTGGCATATGCCTGTAGTCCCAGCTCCTTGGGAGGCAGAATCATTTGAACCCGGGAGGTGGAGTGTAGTGAGTTGAGACTGAGCCATTGCACACTAGCCTGGGTGACAGAGTGAGACTCCATCTCAAAAAAAAAAAGGTTAAATGGTCCTTCTTATATTATGCATATTTTACCACAATAAAAAGCATTTCAGTCATTTCTTCCATAAGTCTTGCTTAGGTAGTCTAGCAACTGATTCCAGAACACGAGTCATCGTCATCCAGTGTATTTGGGATGGTGTCGGTTATCAAGCCATTGCCTCTCCCCTCCAAACACTCCCTCCTACACAAGGCTTTGTGTGGTGAGGGCAGGGACTCTGTAAACAGCATTGCTTCTTTACCAAGGGTCTTTGCTGACAGAGGACACCATACGGAGCCTGGAAGGACCAGGAGGGAGAGGGGACCGGCTCCTCTCTATTTGCTTCCTGTTCCTGCCAGAGTTGGCCAGCAACAGCCCTTCACCTTGGCAACAGCATTTGTTTCCAATAGCAGTGGGTTAGTTTCCGTTTTCTTTCTTTCTTTTTTTTTTTAAGAGCTTTATGAGTTTAATATAAACCATACCATGAAATCTGAGAAATTTTCCTCTTTCACTTTCCCAGAACTAGCTTTTTTGCACACCCCCAAAAGACACCTCACCCACAAGCAAGACTTCTCCCAAGAGCTCCCTTCCAACTCCTCAGGGACTCTCCTCTGAGGTATCAAAGTCTCGGCATCAGCTGGCCAGCCCCACCTCCTCCTCAGGAGTCTGGGTCCCAGCTCTGGGGACCCCTCGTCCAAGCTTCTAGGTTCTGAGAAGCTCCTTCTCTTCTCTTTGTCTCCTCAGCACAGGGGGCAGCTGCTTCCTGCTGCTGCTCTAGCTGTATGCCTCATTTGTTCCCTTTCTTCATTACTCGTCCTCTAATATCTGTTTAATCAATTCCTTATATTAAATTTTCTCTGTTAACATAACTGATGTGGTTTTCTCTCCCAGACTCTGCCTAACACTGCTGAGTTTTTGCACTACTGTGCAAAATATGAAAACAATGAGTTCCTTTTCATCATCTGGCTAGAGTTACTTACAGCTTGTCTCTACCAACGAGTTTGTAAATTCCATGAAATCAGGTTTTTCTGCTTTTTTTTTTTTTTTTTTTTTTTTGGTTCATTGATGTTACGTTCT